AAAAAAAAAAAAAAAAAAAAAAAAAACCAGAATACACTTGAATTAGCACCCCTAATAAAACAAGATTTTAAAAAGAGATAACATTAATATGCAAGAAACCCTACAAATATATCAATCCCAAAAGGGAAAAATCCTAAGGTAATAGCTGCAGGGCATGCCTCGAGAACAAATGGACCAGATTAGGAAAGAGTTCCAAGCAAGGCAGTATGATTGAGCAGGTAGAATAACAGAGATTTCACAAAGGCACATTAGGTCTTGCTACAATAAAATTTTTTAATAAAAGAAAAAAAAGACAATTGGGAAACTTCAAGAAAAACAAAAGGCAACATAACAAAGCCATGTTCCATAGAGAAACAAATAAAAGATGGTATGGGTTTAGCAATCAAGGGACTGGAAAAAAAGAGGCTATGTACTAAAGATAGTATCTTTGAAGGAGTCCAGGAGGTGGGCCACCAGACTCAAAAATAGTCAATGGTTCTAGCACATTATCTAGTCCTGTATTCAACAGCATTCAAAAAGTCATACTAATAGAAACTCTTCTTTTTAAGAGTCAACCTTCATATAGAAGACATTAATGTGACTACAATACAAAATGTCAGCAACTTTGGCAATTTAAAAGTTTAAAGTATCTGAAAAAAGACAGGAGGTAAAACAGGTAAGGAAGGATGGGGTGCTTATTAGTTCATTTTATGTGAGGCGGTATCAAAATACTGACTACTGCAGATAGAATGATACATAAATATTATTAAATATGTAAAAAAACAAAAATATAGGGTGGGCACAGTGGCTCACACCTGTAATCCCAGAACTTTGGAAGGCCAAGGCAGGTGGATCATAATGTCAGGAGTTTGAAACCAGCCTGACCAACATGGTGAAACCCCATCTCTACTAAAAATAAAAAAATTAGCCAGGCATGGTGACAATCACTTGTAATCCCAGCTACTCAGGAGTCTGAGGCAGGAAAATTGCTTGAACCCAGGAGGCGGAGGTTGCAGTGAGCTGAGATCATGCCACTGCACTCCAGCCTGTGCAACAGAGGCTCCATCTCAAAAAAAATAATATCTTGCAGTAAAACAAGCCAACAACAACAACAACAACAATAATAATAATAAAATACACACACACACACACACACACACACACACACACATGTATAATTATCAATTTTTGGAAAGAAGAAGAGAGAGAGAAAGGGAAAGCAGTGTCAGTGAACTAAACCCTCTTCTTTCATATGACAAAGTCAACTGATGCTAAGTAAATTCTAAAAGAATTTCAGTACAGGTTAAGTATCCCTTATCTGAAAGGCTTGGGACCACTAGTGATTCAGATTTCAGATTTTTAAAGATTTCAGAATATTTACATAGACATAATAAGATATCTTGGGGATGGGACCCAAGTCTAAACACGAAATTCATTCATGTTTCATATATGCTTTATACATATAGCCTATGGTGATTTTATACAACATTTTTTTGTTTGTTAGTTTTTGAGGTAGTGTTTTGCTCTTGTCACCCAAGCTGGAATGCAATGGTGCGATCTCGGCTCACTGCAACCTCCTTCTCCTGGGTTCAAGCAGCTCTCCTGCCACAGCCTCCAAAGTAACTGGGATTACATGTGTGCACGATGACGCCTGGCTAATTTTTTATATTTTTAGTAGAGATGGGTCTCGCTGGTCAGGCTGGTCTCAAACTCCCAACCTCAAGTGATCTGCCCACCTCGGCAGCAGAGTGCCAGGATTACGGGTGTAAGACACCGCACCCATTCTTATGCAACATTTTAAATTTTGTAAATGAAATATAGTTTTGACTGCAACCCATCACAAGAGGTCAAGTGTGAAATTTTCTACTTGTGGCACCATGCCACAAGTGGAAAGTCAATGCTCAAAACGTTTTGGATTTTGGCACATTTTGGATTTCAGATTTTCAGAATGGGGTACCCAATCTGTATTTTTTCTGTCAAAGTTATATTCTGAACATTAACTACACTTGATGGTTCAGAAGCCTTTAGGCTAAATCTGAACTGATCTTTACACATTTCTTCAGGAAGTTGGTTATGTGTTTAGGTGCACAAAAATGCATGAAAATGTATGTGCATGCTTGAATGCATATACATGTATGTATTTTAACTAAATGCATGACTTTATTTTCTTTCTGTAAATTTTTCTATAAGAGATAAAAGAAGGAAAAACTTTGCTGGAATGCAAGAAATAGGGAAGGGAATATCATTAACTGAAGACTAACACTGAGATTTAATCTATTTCTCCAACATGTGTAAAAGGGTACTGTCATATAGAAGAAACATGGTATCCTCTCTCACTGTATAAATTCTAATGCTAAGCTTAATGGAAATGAGAAGTTCACCTGATTTTAAGAAATACTGAAGGAGAACCAGAAAGAGGCACTAGAAGCATGTGAAACTATTTTAAGGATTTTAAGATAATTTCACAGAAAAAGATTAAGTAAATGTACACTGATGGATCTCACAAATCTAAAAGACCATTTAACAGAAGAGAATAGAAGGAGCATACTATATTGCTACCATCAGGAAGAACTTTCTAACAATTATAGCTACTAACAACAGAATGGACTGTCTATAATAAAGGTCTGAGCTTCCAACACTATATTGTTTAAACAAAGACCAAATAAACACTAGAAATCCTAAATCTGTAATGTTTTAAATTAGTAAAAGATTGGACTACATCATCCCTAAAGTAATAAGTATAATTATGAGAGTTCTAAACTAACATATTTTGACTCACCAACATCCATTGCAGTTTCCATAAAGCTTTTCTGTCGTGAAGCAAATTCTGCAAGCAATTTCTGCTGCCTCTCTCTAGCCTTTTGTCGCCTAGATTAAACAGAAATAAAGTTATAAGTATCAGATGTGCTTAAAACCTAGCTACTATATTTCCCACCTATATAATGAATGAAAAGCCCCTGGAACACAGTTGAGAACTATTTATTTTCTGTATTACGTATTAAATTTCTTCCAATATTTGATTGCCCTTAAAAGGATTCGCCTAATTTTAAAAGGTTACAAAGTCACTGGTTTAATAGGTAAAAATAAAAGCCAAGATGTGCTTTAAAATGAGAAATAATAATTAAGCTAGACAGAATATTTGGATTTCCAACAACACAAGCTCCTATGTATATGTCAGCAGGTAGCAAGAGCAAGAAGAGTCTTTTTTGGCAAGACTAACAATTTAAACCCAGGCACAAATAACGTAAATTGATTGCTAGAAGAAGCAATGATGTTTAGATATAAACCAAGTCTAAAAGATGAAAACCATCATATTTACTGTTACCCTAAGAATAGGTCCCTCCTAATAGAGAATGAATAGAAGTCAGTAAGTTTCCCAGTTTCTACTAGGACATATTTCAAGTTTGGTTATTTAGTATGAAGTAAAAGAATGTGAATGAGTCTTGAACACAACATAAGAATAAAACTGTATTACAAAGCCCTAAATATTTCCTTGGATTAATTCACTACATAATATTTATTATTTATGCCTTATCTACTTCCAAAGAATATTTTAATTTGCTACTAGTTGCCACAAAAAAAAAAAAAAAAACAAAAAAAAAAAAAAAAAATCCACCCATACAACAGTACCATACCATAAGAATAGGAAAACAAAAGTCAATTAATAAAGAAAGGAGACAAGTTTCTTCAGATTATGTGATGCTAACAATACTAGTGAGCATACAGTTTCACTCCCAGTAAGGAAAGGTTAAATTCGTAATTTAAACAAGAAGTAAAGGAGACGAAAAAGAAAAAAAGAAAGGTTAGAAAAGGTAAATTATATGTTAGCTCACTGGAGAAGACAAATCCCAAGTAGCTGGGATTACAGGCATATGCCACCATATCCGACTAAATTTCGTATTTCTAGTAGAGAGGCGGTTTCACCACATTGGCCAGGCTGGTCTCAAACTCCTGACCTCAGGTGATCTGCCTACCTCAGGTGATCTACCTGCCTCAGTCTCCCAAAGTGCTGGGATTACAGGTGTAAGCCGCCACACCAGACCAAGCCTGGAACACCTTACTGCCCCAGAAAATAAGAATAAGCTCAAAGAATGATGGGTATAGATCAAAAGGATATAAAAACCAGCTTGATGTGACTCCTAGTGGCCAAATCTATAATAATTTGAGCACCAAAATTAGTAACAAGCATATGAGATTATAATCCATAGAATAAAACAGGAACTCATGAGTCCATACTGATAAGAATAAATGAATATAAACTTGATATGGATTGAGATATTACAATATCTCAAAGTATCTCTCTACAAATTATGTATTAGTTGTAAAGTGGGGTGGGAAAATTTTAAATCTGACTGTGAAGAAGTCTCTCCAACTTGACCAAAGTCAATCACCAGTGATGAAACAAATTGAAATCATATGACACCTTATAGGATACAATGAAAACAGCAACACTTCATTGACATGCCTGCCAAAGTTGTATAAACTGAGTCAAAACATAAAAGGACAACAGACAATCTCAAATTAAGGGATATTCTACAATGTTACAACTGCTTCATAATCTTTAAAAGTGCCACAGTCATGAAAATAAAAGAAAGACTAAGGAAACTTCCATATTGAAGGAGAGCAAAGAGACATGACAATTAAATACAAGGAGTGATTACAAACTGGATCTTTCTGCTGTAAGAAATATTATTGTGGGCCAGGAGCAGTGGCTCATGCCTATAATCATAGCACTTTGGGGGACTGAGGCAGGAGGATCACATGAGCCCAGGAGCTTGAGACCAGCCTGGACAACATAGCAAGACCTCATCTCTACAAATAATTTTTGAAAATTAGCCAGGCATGGTGGCACACATCTGTAGTCTCAGCTACTCAGGAGGCTAAGGCATGAGAATCACTTTAGCCTAGGAAGTCAAGGCTGCAGTGAGCCTTGATCACATCACTACACTCCAGCCTGGGTGACAGAGCAAGACCCTGTCTAAAAAAAAAAAAAAAAGAAAAAAAAAAAAAAAAAAAAGAAAAAAATTATTGGGACAACTATCAAAACTTAGAATCTAAAGATGCAAATACCATATTGATTCCCTAATTCTGATAGTTGAGAGTACAAATAACTTCCTGAACCATTTATGCAAGTTTAAGATACTTCAAAATAAAAAGCTTTTAAAAAATAAATCCATCCTCAAAGGATAAAGATTTGCCACAATGGAAGAAATGGAAGCAAAGGAAAATGTGCTCTAGATGCTCAAGGCATTCTAAGTGACCTCCAGAAATGCTATGAGCAACAACAGCATTGATTGACTACATTTTTGGTCTCCTGAATCACTACTTTGTAAATCTGTAAATTTTGGCACGCTTCTTTAATTAATGTCACTCACTCTTCAGCTCACCTTTAAACATGTACATTTTCAATCAGAATACAATTGTCCATAGAGTGTGTTTTAAAAAATCTATATGTTAAACATAAGAAAACCTCAAATGTAACTGCTTGACACTAGTATTAAAATACATTTCTATAGCAGATTTCTATGTTAACCAGAAATGGAATGTCATTGTTGTGAATGTATTCTTAATTGAGATTATTCCTTTTCTAAATTTGGGTGGAAATATAAATAAAGGCCATTAACAAAGAACATAAACAAGTTCTGGCAGATTCAGTACAACTCAAAAATCTTCCATTAACTCCTGAGATGAAGACATCAAAGCTGCATTTTATTACAACCATCTAATGTTTTCTGCTTGCATACTGTTTTCTATGAAGTTAATCTATTATGAAAGTGATGCAGAGTTTGTCTAAAGGTGAGGTACTTGGAAATGGATCCTCATTAAGTGTTTATGAACTGTTCTGCCTTTATTTTGAAAATCCAAAACCAAACCAGAGAAAAGACAAATATGAGTAGCACAGTGAGATCCAAACAGATTCAACTTAATTCTTAGCTGTCTGCTACAAAATTAGTTTCAAGTCATTGTCAATACCATCACTGTTCAAAGGAAACAAAAACTATCACAAAGAAAGCCTTTAAAATTTTTATAATGTTATTTATTAAATAGCATCAGGGCCTTTGCAAAAGTAGCATCTAAACTATGTCCTCCATTATCACATTTATAATAAAATTACAAAATACCCTTAACCAAAAAAACAGATTTTGATTCACTGTTTATCTTCTTTCAAAATAAAAGCATATACTATTATATAACCAGAAAGGAGAAACCACTAATTAACAAAAATAAAAATTTTAACCTCATTTTCAACCTCCTAATTTTATCAGATTTACTACATTCTGGACTATTAACTAATTCAAACTTAATGAATAGTCATCTAAATTACATGTTACGAATGTCCTTTCTCCCACGGAAATAAATTATATGTTAGTTCTTTATAACTCCTATTTAGGAACTCTCCTAAATCCTTTTTTTTTTTTTGGTGATGGAGTCTTGCTCTGTTGCCCAGGCTGGAGTGCAGTGGCGCGACCTCGGCTCACTGAAACTTCCACCTCCCAGGTTTTAAGCGATTCTCCCGCCTCAGCCTCCCAAGTAGCTTGGATTACAGGCACCTACCACCATGCCCAGGTAATTTTTTTGTGCTTTTGGTAGAGATGGGGTTTCACCACATTGGCCAGGCTGGTCTCAAACTCCTGACCTTAAGTGATCCACCTGCCTCGGCCTCCCAAAGTGCTGGGATTACAGGCGTGAGCCACTGGACCCGGCCAGAACTCTACTAAATTCTTAATTTACCATAGGCTTTTGCACATATTTTTAAAATAAAATTTTTATAACAAACTTTTAATTACATCAGAGATGTAGTATAACTGTATATGTGACTAAAATTGCTCCTTATACAGTTACCAAAGGTTGAACTCCTAACTAACAAATCAAATAGGATGGTCAATCTTATTAAACTCCTGTAACACTTAACAATTTTGGTAAGTTTCTTACTTTCTGAATTTCTTCTTGTGACTTATCTAACGCCACTCACCCCAGTTTTTCTCTTACTCTGTTCAGCCACTCCTTTATCAGTCACCGTTGTAGATACCCTTTCCTAGCTCATTCCCTTTAATGTTTTTTCCCTTGAGTTCTTTATTCAGTCTCCTCATTTTCTTACTGTACATTCTCTCCCATATATGAGGATTCCACTATTACCTATGTGCTCAAATCTGTAGCTCTAAGAATTCTCCCCAAGTCTTAAAGCCACTATCTGACTGGACATCTTCCCTTGGGTCTTCCTCTTAAACTTAGTAATGCCCAGAACTGAACAGATCAGTTTTACTACTGAATCTGAGCCCCCTCCTATACTCCATTATCTTGGTAAAAGGAACATTATCCAAGTCAGAAATCTGGGCACCATTCATGACTTCTCCCTCATTTCTCACATCAAGCTGATCACCGAGTCTAACAACTTATACCTGCTAAATATCTCATATACATCTCCTTCTCTCTTTATTATCATCACTGTCTTAGTTTAGATCCTTACCACACCTGCCCCACTAGATGACTAAGTAGCTTGGTCTCCCAATTTCCAGTTTTACCCCACTCTAATCCACCTTCATGTAATTACCCTATAAATTATTCTTCACTTAAAATCCTTCCACAGTTTCCCTGTAATCATTCACATCCTAAGTGCCAGTTAATGATATATGGTTACCTTCTTAGCCTCATGTCTTGTTACTCCCATTAACAACCTGTGCACCTAATATAGTATCATAAGAAAGGAAGAAAGATAGTTGTTAACACTACTAACAAACTATCTGTTTACCAGTTTGTCTCTCCAGTACAGTATCAATTCCTCAAGGTCAGGAAGTCCAACACTGGACACACATATGTCTAGAGAAGTGCCTGATTGACACCCAGTGACTGAGAAATGGATCAGTCAAGTAAGATCCATCTTATGCTTGCTTCCACTGATCATTCAACCATAACTGCCTATATTTAATTTTAAAAGTAACTAAGAAGAAGAAATTATCCAGAAAGTACCTCTAAAATATACTTCAACTGTAAAATCATGTATTATTCATACTGCTTACAACAGTAGCCCAGATAACTCTGTTGACAATGATTTTTACCTACATCAAACAGATTGAGATGATAAAGGTCCTAGGTTCTTAATTTTTAAGATAATATTGATGTGGACCCTCCAATAAGGGGAAATGTGTACCCTTTCCCTATAATTGTTGCTTTGGTAGACAAATTTGTCTTAAATAATATAGAAATTAAAACAGTGAAAATTATTTGTAACCTCAGAGAAATGGGCAATGACTATCTTGAATTTTATCTGAAATCTTTTTTTTTTTAATGTCCTGGGTCTTTTATCCTATGTACACTCTTTAGAAGGTATACTCTTTTAATAAACACTGAACCCCTTCCAAGAGTTTGATGATTACACTGAGTTTCAATCTCTCAAGATTCTCCTTGTCATATTTATGACAGCAGGGTCAGCAATGTTGACAAGGCTCTTGGGAAACAACTGATGACAATGCTCAGTAACACAACTCTTCTGGCAAACAATGTACCACCCAAGAAAAAAAAAAACCATACCATGCTCACAGTCCTTGAACCACAAACCCCGCATAATATACATCTTGAGATAAAAAAGTCAACCCATTCTTTTTTTTAAGAAAGTCAAAAGATGAAAAAAAAAAAAAAAGGTTAAAAATATATTTTAACAACAAATTATAAGCAACCTAAAGATCCAAAAGCTAGAAGCATAAGTTAGTCAGAACTTTTTAAAAATCAGCAATCATATATTAATAAAGATTAGAAAAGACCAAAAGAAACTACAACTAAAGCAGTTGGATCTTTAGATTGAGAAATGTTTTCAATATTTAATTTTTTTCTATTCTCATTTAAAGTTGAACTGTTAGTTTTTGAAAACAGTGAGAGAATTATTCTATCCCTACAGCAATAACAACAGCAGGAGCAATTTTTCCAAAAAGACATACAAGTTTAAGGTAGTAATTTTATGCTGGGGTCAGAAAGTCTCGCCTCTCCATCAATGAACTCATTTACAGGCATAAGCATTGACTATGCTCCATTACATTTATGTTACAAACTAATCAGCTAAGACTGTTGCTATTAAGCAGCCAGGTGATTATCCTTAAATGACCAAAAGGAAGAAAATACAAAATTTTCAACTATACACCCATGTTTAAAACATTAAAAATATAAATTACCTTTCTTCCTTGTCCAAAGTTTTCTTCTCTGCTGTGGTGACTTTTTTAGGTGGTACAGGAGGGGTCACTTTTCTACATATCTCTTCAATGATGCGTTTGTTCATTCTACTTTGCGACGCAGCTTTTAGTAAAATTCTTTCTACTGCAGTTATACCATCTCCATGACTGTATTTAGGAATTTCTGGTTGGATTAAAATTTCTATGTCATCAAGCCAAGGAGGATAGTAGGAGTTTTGTTTTCCTGAGAGTTTGTGGTGAAGTTTAATTAGCAAAGACAATATGCTTTCTTTAATTTCCAAAATGGCTGTAGTTAACTGTGGAGCTGAGCCAGGAGCAGACCATTTATTTGAAGTTTTGGGACGAACCACCTGATTCGCTTCACTGCTACTGCGATTGATGATTTCCTGAAACTTCTTTCTACGTTCAGCTACTAAACTGAAAACTTGAGCTGTACCAGAATTCTACCATTAAAAAAGAGAAACAAAGAAAAATCAAGAGAAGTTATTCAGCATCATTTAAAAAACTTATTAGTACTACATTTTCCAAAGGGAATGCTCAGTTTCATACAAAGATTTATTCAACAGATTTGCTCTTTAAATAAATCTGTCCCTTGACCTCTCTCCGTCAAATATATTTAATCCCACTCAATCTGGAAACAGTAATAAGGAGGATGTCATCAGCAGTAACACCTTCTTTTCAACCTTCTGAGACTATCTACCAGAAAAAATAGACAAAGCTTAAGCAGTATCCACAGCCACATTAAAGAGAATCATAAACTAAATTCTTCATTAGTTTAAAGGAGGAAAAGTTGTTCACGAAGAATAGGGTACTCTTTACTAACTTCTGGAAGACTGGTACAGTTTCCAGTTAAGAAAATTATAAATTAGTTTTTTTTTTAATTTTAAGCTAATAAATCTGAATCAGTAATTAATTTTACTTTTAAGGAACCTTAAAGTTTGAAAATTCTAACATAAATGCTTAAAGTTATTAAACTGAAATATAAGGACGAAAAATTAAACTAATGTTTCATATTTTAATATGACTGTTTTTTGAACAGTTTTTTTTTTAACTAAGTATTTCCCTCAATAATTTATCTTCTAAAAAGCTTTTTTGCTAAAGCAATCAAACTGTACCAGGGCTCTTAGAAATCATCTTTTAATTAAGATATGAGTCAGTTTAATGAGTTTATTTTTTTAAAGCAAGCATAGAAAGGATGCTCTAATATCAGTTGAGCTTTTATGGGTCAAATGACAGTATACACTATTTGTTAACATCCAGGCTGTTTTTTAAAGTATTCTCTACCAGCATTAGAGGCAAAAGGCTCTTATAGACGTTCCAGTTTTTGCTTACAGCGAAAACACATTGTCAAAGACAAAGGAAGCTCCTACAAATAGACTCTAATATAAGAAATATCTGATTCAATGCTCTCTACTCACAAAAATTGAGGTTGTGGAGACTAAAACTGCTTAAGTTTAATTACTTATAATGTCATTTCAAGATTTTTATTTCTGCTTTTTAAAAATTAATTAACTTACATGCAATGAGAGCACTGATTTTCAAAATGAGTCCAAAGCCATAACATACAGACTTTAAGACTTTATAGACTTATTTTATCAAAGTTAATTAATTGCAATAGAAGCAAAAAAGTTATTTGCAAATGAGCATGCTGCTAGTAATTTATTTTAATTTTAAAAATATCCCAGTCATTTTTAAGACGTTAGTAATATAGCGGCAATGCTAAATATAAAGAGACTCAAATATGCCACCTATAATTAGTCCAAAATACTTTGAACACTAATAAAAAAAAATGCTATTAAATAGTATTATTTTTAAGCTCAATAACATAAATTTTAATATTAAGCTTAAATCACTTTGTCAAAAAAAAACCACACGTAATTCAAAGAAACTTTCTTTTAAATTTAACCATATTAATTAAACACCCCATATACACACGAATACTTCAAAGCGTTTTTTCCCCATTTCCAGTTAAAGCCATGTTGCTAGTTAATGCAAATATCATACATATCTACCTCTCTTTGAAGAACTTTAGGCCGTCGTGAATTCTGGCAGATTAAGGGAAAAAGACTGGTAAGGTAGAAGTTGCATAGATATATCAAAGGAAATAAAAGACAATTTAAAGTTATCTACAACCACATTGTTTTTTCTTTTGGATATTGTAGGAACAGTATATCCCAACATAACATAAAGCTTTTTCTTATTTTCTTTCTTACATTTATACTTACATGTAAAGAACCCAAGTTATCAGAGCTAGTACTTGCAGGTGAGTCTCTCTTCACTTCAGGAGCAGTCTCTGGAACTCTTACTCTAACATAGTTTATAAAGTGTCGCATGTTTGACACTAAGTTACTACCAGGAAACCAACTGTCATGACAACGTTCTGGTCCACCCACTGATGCCTAAAATATAAAAATAATGAATATCAAATCTTGCCACATCAGATCCAAAGTACAACAGAGACATAACAAGCCCCCAAAAATCATCCACTGCCTGTCATAATCCTGAATCCCTTATCGTCTCCTCCACAACTTATAAAGTGAATAAATTCAAATTATAAAACTAAATTCAGACAAAAAATATAGGAATATATTTCTCAGTACTAATATTGGTAAGTCCAATGGAAACTGCTATGTCTCCTGAAAAATATATTTTTCAATCTGGAATACTGAAGATTACAGAATATTCATCCTCACCCATTAGTAATAATACAAATAACGCTAATTTGGACTAATTGTAGAGGAAGCTGAAAAACCAACCAAAGGTATGACCTAATCATAGAGGAATCTTTACAACCTTTTAACATCTGTGAAAGAATATATGTTGATTCAACTTGGACTACAAAGAACTACAAAGTGGTTTTTTTTCTTTAACTTGTTTTTTGCTATTATTATGCTGTGTTATATTTCATCATTAGGAAGAAAGAGATGAGGAGAATCTTACACATTAGTAAAACTAATTTATAGTAACAATTGCTTTTATGAAAACTATACTTGTAAAGTCTGAAACATATTAACAACTTGTATTCTTAAGTACTTTAAACATTTCCCCAAATAACAATATTCATGCCATTACCTTAAAATCTCTACAGAAAGAATTTGCTACTCAAAAATAATCCCTAATCAAATTATTAGAATTTTTGAACCTAAGTCCTAATTTCAGTTTTACTGGTTATTTACTGATTACGGGTAATTTTTTGCCAGTAATCAATATTCTTAGCATAACACCAAGAAGGCATTACTTTTCTTAATTTTTGTGATAGGAATTACAATTTTCAAATTCAATAATTCCACAAGTAGAATTTAATGTATTAATGAAAGCCCTAAAAAATTGTATGTATTTGAAGACCCCAAAAGGCCTTTTCTATTAGTTCTTTAAAAGATCTTATGAGTCTGATGAAAACATACATACCCCTCAAGATGAATTCATAAATACTTTTTATTAAGGCATGTTGTAACTACCAAAAGTATAACATGCCTGGTTTGGCAACAAATGGCTAGAGCCAGATAGGGGCTGCCTACCTAAAAATTTTAAATTATAAAAAACTACTTACCTCTTCATCTGATTCTTCGTCAGCATAATTTTCGAGTCCTAATTCAATCAGATATAAAACCATGCAGAGTACATGTTCTGACAGATTTTGATGATCCATCAAAATCTTTAAAAAGGGAAGAAAATGCCTCATAATTACTTTTGTCCACAAAATATATTTCATTTAGAGATGCAAAAATATTTTATTGTTACAAACAAAAAGTACTTTAATATCTAGAAATAGCAGTTCACAAATTTTCTAAAGGTTATATCAGAGAGTCCACTAAAAAACCACTCATATAAATGTAAGTATCTAATAAAACAATTTAACATTTTATATCCTAATTTACTGATACTCTTCTCTTGATGACAAGGCTATCAGATAAGTAAGTTTACCAAATAGAATAATTCATGCAAATGTGTTTAGCACAGCACCTGGAATGTAACTGGCAGCACAATAAATGTTTATGGTACATTAATGTTTTCAAAAATATGTCTCTAAAATTAAAGTTCTGAGCCTCTGAGTATTTTGAGTGGCTATATAAATATGTAGGTCAGTGTGTGATTTATATGGAGGAGAAAGGTAGAAGGAATGCAAGTGGTTAGTAAAGAGGCTTCTCTCAGGAAAATTTGATAAATCTGACCTATGGATTATTCAATGCAAGCCTTAAACATCTTCAACAGAATTTCTGGGCTACCTACACCAGTCACTCATTCAGTATCATATAACAGGCCACTAACCAGAAGATACCTAAAATGCCACAAGAAACAAAATGGCCTGGCAGCTATCATCTTGTCATCATTACAAAAGTCATCTGGCCAAATGATGGAAAGGACAAAAGGAATGAGTTCTGTAGGGAGTGGCAGTTTTACTTGTGGGCAAGATAGCAAAGAACAAAAAAGAGGACAGGATAAGATGAGCCTCACAGAAAATGCCCAAATGACTGAGGGGATTTGGAAGGAGGACTTGGTTGCTTAAGACCTAATCTACCACAACTAAAGAACAGAGAGACTTTCAAGTCACTGACTCTCTCATGTTTTTCTGACTATTCAGAGGGCTTCTCTATTCATCTGTTGTTTGGCACAGTAATGAAGAGCACAGGCTTTCAAAACCTTTTAAAAACCAGATTTTTAAACAAATTCTGTCTATTCCTAGTTGACCTCCAGCAACAGACTCTGGCTGCTCTTAGTTTTCTCATCTCTAAAATTGGAATTATAGGGCTCCTCCTACCACTTTCACTTGTCCCATCCCCATCCAAAAAAAAAGAAAGAAAAATAAAACTGCAATTATAGCCCAAAATTGTATGAGTTAATATCTGTCATTTGCTTTGTATAGTACCTAGCAACTGGTGTTCAACAGTGAGTGGGTGATGCCAATGATGTAAGGAGCAGGAGCAGCAGCAGGAGGGAGCTGAAGGCTGGGAGACCACAGAAATCATCCTTTCTGATCCACTATGTTATGGAGAGGAAACCAGGGCTCAGCCACACAACCAGATAGCTAGTGTAAGTAACACTAGAACACAGACCTCAGACTCCCAGGCCATTGCCTATCATTACTATACTATCGCCTCTTGATAAACAAAATACTACCAGCTAAATTCAATTAAATTTTGACTTCAAAGATTGTGGCATTATGGCTTTAACTGAATAACTTAAGAGCTAAGGGGGTAAAAAAAAAATCCCTCTATTAAGTACTTCAAAAAAACAAAAGAACGAAAAATGATGTTTCCAGGGAGTTTTATTTGACATTAAACATGTCAGAGGATACAGGTGGTTTACTAAAACTGATTTTCAGAAAGTTGACTTGCCAACACAATGTCAAAGGAGAATTTTTTTATTAGTAGTAGTATTATCAAGAAAGCTATTTTAAAGTTGAGATTTTCAAAAATTCATTTATAATAGTCTTGTAACAACTAAAACATTGTCTTTTTATGTTTGATAAAATATTATTTGTACATTTAGCATACGAAAACATTGAAAAATATAACTTGAAAGAACATAAATAATTTGCCGTAAGGCTTAATTTTTCATGAATTACTTGTCTCTTATTAATTATTACTTGTAACAGTACTTAGCTTCCTCATCCGAACTAGTTATTTAACCTCTAAAACTCAATTTCATATCTGAAAAACGACAATAACAGAATTTTCCCTGACAAAGATTTTTGCTAACTTAAACAATAATGTCCACAAGTATATATAAAGCATTTCCAACAAAATCTGGCACTAAGTAAACATTCAAAGACTCTCCATTATTTGTAAAACAAATAGAAATATCTTTTCAGTACAAAAAGATATTCTACATCTTTGTAATAAAGAAAAAGAGCATTTTAAATCAATTACTGAATAACCCTTTTGGAATGAAAGGGTTAATGAAAATAAACCACCCAAGGTGTTTTTTGAAGCACCCGTCCAAAATCTTAACAGCAAAACTTCAGAAACAAGTACATTCAAAAATTGGTCATGGGTGGGGTTGAAAGGAAGGGAAGTACAGAAATTTAAAAGTATTATTTCATTATAAGATTAAGAAAAAAACTTACCTACCCAACTAAATGTAATATACACTTTTTTATAATGTGTTAAATCATTGTACATAGTAATTGGAAATTTATATAATAAATATTCTTTTTCTTTAAATTTTTTAATACAATTTTTAATTTTTCAAATTCTAATTAGGAAGAGAAACAATATCATATTAAAAGGAATTCAAAGAAAAATAAGAACATTTGTACATTCTTAAATGTTATAAATACACTTTGCTTTATAAGTGGTACTTCTGTATAAATATTATCCTTCAGCATTTTTATGTCAAAATAAATTCTAAGCTTAGTCTTTCTATTCAAATTACTACTGTACCTTGTAAAGCAGAGTGAATAGCACAATGTGTAAAGTTTTACAGTGTAAAAGTCTCATGAGACCTTTATAGCTAGGATGAAGTGATGTCCTTTTCTTATAGGGAGGCCAGGGGTTTCCAGGAAATTTTCCACTCTGTTTTAAACTGTAAAAATACAACAAAACTACAATTAGATGATAGTCTCAAAATCAAACTGTGGTTTAAATGTAATTTATAGACACCAATTTCTGTCACAGTATTTTATACAGTGCTATTTTTAATCAAATTGCTTAAATGCCAAAGAGGTATCATCTATTCTATACACAATGAACATTATTATTTCTTTTCCTATTGGCTAAAAATGAGTAAAGAGAGCTAAGCTGAAAATTTTAAAAAATATAAACTTTAAAGTGCTAACAAAGAGAAACGAACAGAAAGAATATAGATGAAGTACTCAGCAAAGAAATTTCCAGCTGTAAAAATTAAGCAAAATAGATAACCTAAAAATTCTCCTACTACCAGTGGTTGGAAAAGCTGGATAAATACAATCTTTTGAATGCATATTTGAACTCACAAAAAAAGTGGAATTATCCAGTTACCAGAAAAAAGAAGGAATTAATGACAAGCACTAACACTGTGCCAGTGGTTTTAAAGTCCTTGAGCAAATAGATCACAAGGTATGCTGGGCTCACACAAGGCTCAGAGATAGAGCTGAGATCCCACCTAAAGCTGAGACCCTTGAAAAGCTTTATCCTCACTGTAAGAGTAGCTCACAAGGAGAATGAATTAGCTTGTCTGTCTCTTCTGGGATGTAAGAAAAATAGGTTCCCCAAGACAATAATTATGAACTTGTATGCAAATACAGTAGTCCCCTCTTATCTTCAAGGGACATGTTCCAAAGCCCCCAGGGGATGCCTGAAAACATGGATAGTACCAAACTCTCTATATACTATGCTTTCCTACACATACATACCTATGATAAAGGTTAATTTATAAATAAGGCACAATAAGACATTAACAACATAAGTATTACAACAATATACTGTCATAAAAGTTAGATGAACGTGCACATGCTCCCTCTCTCAAAATATCTTATTGTTTAGTAGTCCCCTTTATACCTAGTTTCACTTTCCAGTTCAGTTACCCATGGTCAACCATGGTCAGATATATTAAATGAAAATCTCCACAAATAAACAATTCATAGGTTTTCAATTGTATGCCATTCAGGTATTGTTATAATTGTTCTATTTTATCATTAGTTATTACTGTTAATTTCTCACTGTCTCTAATTTATAAATTAAACTTTATCATAGGTATGTACTATGGGAAAAAAATGTATTATATATAGGGTTTGGGTACCATCCCTCATTTCAGGCATCCACTGTGGATCTTGGAACACGTTCCAAGGATCAAAGGGGGACCGTTATACTATACTCACTCCTGTTCTTGTAATGATGTGAGATGATAAAACGCCTACATGATAAGATGAAGTGAAGTGAATAATGTAAGCACTGTGACATGGCATCAGACTACTAATGACCTTCTGACAATATGTCATCAGAAGGAGGATCATCTGCTTCAGGTGGTCCTGAATCATCAGGCCATGACAATGTTGGAAAGTTGGATGTCAGGAACAGATAATGTTAATAGCTAACAAGTGAGCAGTATATACAGCATGGTACACTGGACTAAGGAACAATCCACAACCCAGGTGGGACACAGTAGGATGGCACAAGAATTCATCACCCTGCCTAGAATGTAATATAATTTAAAATTTATGAATTCTTTATTTCTGGAATTTTCCTTGTAATATTTTTGGACAGAAAATACAGATAACTGAAACTATAGAAAGCTAAACCACAGATAAGAAGGGACAACTGTAATAACAGACTCATAACACAAAAGGCAAATTTTGAGGGAATTACACAGAGAAAATGACAAATCCACAACCATAGTAAAGGATATTAGCATACTTCTTATCTAAATGAGAGCCAGAAAAAAATTGGTAAAGATTTTTAACAACACAATGAAGAAGCATGGGCAAAGGCAACATCCAATCATTAGAGAATACACCTAATTTTAAGAGCACTCAGAATATTCATAAAAATTGACTAAATATGTAGTATGCAAAGTAAACCTCAACAAATATCAAAAGAACTGATACATGAACCACATTCACTTGTTATATAGCAAATAAAACTAGAAACCAACTTAAAAATGTAACTCAAAACCCCAGACATGTAGACATCTCAAAGCACTATGCTCTTAGAAATTCAGAAGTCATGAAAAATCCTAACAGAAAAATTTTAAATCTAAACTATATAGAAAAAGCTGTGGCCCACCAAGTAAAGCAGTACTTAGAAGGAAACACATAGCCTTAAATGCATACTTTTTTTAAAAAATCAACAACTAAGCATCCAAATTATAGTTAATAATGTTTTATATTTCAAAATAGAAGAACTATAATGTTCCCAACATAAAAAGAACATAAATGTTTAAGGTGATAAATATCCCAATTTCCCTCATTTGATCACTACACATTGTATACATGTATCAAACTATCAGAGAAGTATCTTCAAATATTGTATAAAAGGTAATGTTAAGGCTAAGATATATTAATTTAAAATATTTTTAAATCTATAACAATAAAAATTAAAAAGAAATAATTAAAAATGAAAACCAAATGCACTAAAATAGCAACAGCAACTAAGTACCCTAGAAAAGGAAAAAAAGATAATCCAAACTAAATTAAAAGAAGACAATAATGGTCTGGCATAGTAGCTCACACCTGTAATCCCAGCACTTTGGGAAGCCAAGGTGGGCAGATCCCTTTGAGCTCAGGAGTTCATGACCAGCCTGGGCAACATAGTGAAACCCAGTCTCTACAAAAAAAAAAATATAAAAATTAGCCAAGCATGATGATGCATCCCTGTAATCCCAGCTACTCAGGAGGTTAAGGTGGGAGGATTGCCTGAGGCCAGGAGTTCATGGCTGCAGTGAGCCAAGACTGCACCACTACATACCAGCCTGTAAGACAGAGTGACTCTGTGTCAAAAAAGAGAAAGGGTGAGGGGGAGGAGTATAGGAGGGGGAGGGGGAGGGGGAGGAAGAAGAGCAAGAGGAGGAGGAAGAAGCAGGAGAAGGAGACAGAGAAGAAAAATAATAGAGGGAAAAAGAATGAAACAGAAAATGGGGTTGGGGGAAGAAAGACAACCAAAAGTTAGTTGGTTGAAAAAAAAAAAAAAAGACTGGTAATCATCTGATAATGACACCTAATTCAAAATAAGAAATAGCAAATACAACTAAATTATAGGAATAAGAACACAGAGAAGATTTTTAATCATTAAATATATACTTAAGATAAAGATTCCTTAGAAAAATATAACTTAGCAATTTTTTTCAAGAAATAAAAAACATAAGCAAGCCTATAACCTTTAAAGCAATTTTTTTCAAGAAATAAAAAACATAAGCAAGCCTATAACCTTTAAAGAAAGTGAATGCGTAGTTTTAAGTTACCCATGAAAAAAGAAAAGATGCATGAGGCCGAGGTTGTTGAATAGGCAAGGTCTATTAAAACTTAAAGAAACATCATATGAATAAGAATGAAGTTGGACCACTACCTCATAGCATACATAAACACTAACTCAAAATGGATTAGAGACTTCGATGTAAAAGCTTCGGCTTATTTTTAGGTATAAAACTCTTTGAGAAAAACAAAGGTTTAGGAATTGGTGATCTTAATTTAGGCAATAGACACAACACTCAAAGAATAATCAGGAAAATTTTTTTTAAAAGTTGGAATTCATCAAAATTTAAAACATTTGTGACTCAAATGCATTCTCAAGTAAGTGAGAATGGCTCACCACGGCTCATGCCTGTAATCCGAACACTTTGGGAGGCTGAGGCAGGCAGATCACTTGAGCCACAGATACCAAACCAGCCTGGGCAAAACATGTAGAGACCCATCTCTACACACACACACACACACACAAAAATCAGCCGTGTGTGATGGCATATGCCTGTAGTCCCAGCTACTCGGGAGGCCACTCAGGATCATCGGAGCCTGGAGGTGCCCAAGCCTATAGTGAGCTGTGATCATGCCACCAGCCAGGGCTACAGAGTGACACGGTCTCAAAAGAAAGAAAGAAAGAAAGGAAGGAAAGAAAGGAAAGAAAGGAAAGAAAGGAAAGAAAGGAAAGAAAAAAAAAAAAAAAAAAAAAAAAAAAAAGAGAGAGAGAGAAAGAAAAGAGAATATTTGCAAATCATATACCTGATAAGTCTAGTATTCAGAACATATAAAGAGGTCTTAAAACTCAATAATAAAAAGTACAATTAAAAATTAGCAACAAAATTGGCAGCACCTAGTACCTTTATAACTGGAGTTAGGAAGGCAGGGGGCTAAAATAAGGATAGGATGAAAACTGCCTTTCCACCACTGAAACAGAATTTTGGCTACAGAACTCATCTCTGGAGAGGATAAAATAGCAAGTACAATTGAGGGTATGACAATGAGAGATTAAAATCATCATATGCATGTCTGACTCAGAGGCGCTAGGCCTTGTCTCCCAATCTGTTCACAGAAGAATAGCAGCTATACTATCACCTTCTGGGCAATATCTGAGGATACTTCCCTAAGGAAACTGACCAGGTCAAAAAGAAAGATCTAATACAAGGGCTTTTCAAAAAACATGCTTACCCAAATCACCCTATATTAAAATTCAGAACCTACAAGTTCCACCAATGCACTCAAGAGCTCTTAAAAACAAGTAGTCAGCATTGTCAAACATCTGGGAAATTCCTCTAACTTGGAAGCTACAGACTGAACACTAGAAAATGCATCTTAGAGGAAACAGATACTATACAGAATGAAGAAAATAAATCTTAAAAATAAGAAAACTATCACTAACATTAGAGAAATAAGCTATACCTATGACTATAAAGATGCTATAAAATTAACTTTGCATTTTAAAAAAGTTGGGTTGTATATAATACTACAATGGCAACAAAGAAATGTAATTTCCAAAATGATCCCTACAGCCATGATGAAATACTTCAACTATTCTATTTAGGATAAAAAGGCAGTTTTTAGTTGTATTTGTTTCTTTGTTTAAGCAGTAACCCCTAAATATGTGGCACCTAGATTAATAAAGTGTTCCAAAATAAAGGTTATATATTTGTTGAAGGCCTAAGTAATACATCATTTTGAGTGCTCTTTTCAAAAGCATTAATGGAATCATGCAAATGAAATGCTACATGATAGGAAAAAAATTATTTAAGTGACTCAAACCAAGACCTAATTATTGACCAGTTTGAGATGAAAATGATAGGTATAAACTCATACATCATACTTTCAAACATGGGGCAGCAGCCATTAACTTTCAAGATGGGAGATAGGAAGCAACAGAAATATAAGAAATTATGTATTTAAAAAATTTTTCTTTCCAGCTGAATTTAAAACAACCACTTTATGAAATCATTTCCATCTTTGGAAATGGCCTAGATCATAGTTCTAACAACACTACCACTGTCACACATATTTCACTGGGCACAATGGCTCACATCTATAATCCTAGCAAGATGGGAGGATCACTTGAGGTTAAGAGTTCAAGACCAGTCTAGACAATATAGTAAAAGCACACCTCTACAAAAAACGTTTAAAAAATTAGCCAGGCATGGTGGCATGCACCTGTAGTCCTAGCTACTCAGGAGGGTAAGATGGGAAGATCACTTGAGTCCAGAAGTTGGAGGCTGCAGTGGGCTATCATCACACCACTGCACTTCAGCTTGGGTAACAAAGTGAGACCCTGTCTCAAAAAAAAAAAAAAAAGACATATTTTCACTGAGCTTCCCTGAGCCACAATGTCTTCATATATAAAATATAACACTGAAATGAATGGATGGTTTTCCAACCTTTGGTTTGCTTTGTTGTTGTTGTCGTCCTGTTTTTTGTTTCTTTTTAAGAGCTGAATGCTCACTCAGGGGTATTTGGAAGGGAATGAGGGAAGCAGGATGAGCCACTTCCTCTCTCTTAAGCCTCCTCTTGCTGTTGTCCATCTCTGTCTTCCAGTGGTGTCCCACAAGACACATAGAACTTGGACTAGATCTTAAAGGCCTTTTCCAGCAGTAAGAGCCTAAAATTCTAAGCATCTAGGCATCACATAAAGCAAATGGCTTACTTTCACTTAAACTCTCAGCACAAAATCCAAAAAAAAATTTACTTTTCATTCATTTAACAAATATGCACTGGTTGCCTTTAAAGTGCCTGGCACAAAGCTAAACTGTGAGAACACAATACTTTAAATTTATCAGACCATTTTTCATTTTCATTTGCAAGATGGCCTCCAAAAGGCCTTGTTGCTAATTAAAAAAGATCCCTCTCAATACAATCAGTTAAGCCACTTTTTGTCCCTTAAAACTCAAAAGCAGATGAAAATGATCAATCACAAACAAATTGGCCAGGCCCAATGGCTCACACCTATAATCCCAGCACTTTGGGAGATCGAGGTGGGCAGATTACCTGAAGTCAAGAGTTCGACACTAGCCTGGCCAACATGGTAAAACCCTGTCTCTACTAAAAACACAAAAATTAGCCAGATGTAGTGGTGGGCACCTGTAATCCCAGCTATTAGGGAGGCTAAGACAGAAGAATCGCTTGAGCCCAGGTGATGGAGGTTGCAGTGGGCCAAAACTGCACCACTGCACTCAAGCCTGGGCAACACAGTGAGACTCTGTCTCAAAAAAATAAAATAAAATAAAATAAAGTAGCAAACAAATCCTAGGGTTTAGGGTTATCTTCCTACTGGTGCTGAAACAATAACTGAAACAGTCAATTATATAGTCAAATATACAACAAATCAAAGATACTGCATAAAGGATGCAGGTACTATTGTTTCACAAACAAAATAAATCACAAAAATGTTAAGTTTTACATAGTAACTAACTCATTTGTATAAGGATATGGCATTTAAGTACACAAAATGTTATCACACAAATATAACAGTTTGCACATGCAATTTCAAAGAGTAATTTACAATAAAATGGTTGAAAGGTTTTAGCCTAAAGCTAAAGAGTATATTTGTCATCTGCTATTACTGCTTTAGTTGAGTACATTATTTCTTTTAAAACAGATTTTTTAAACTGCTAAGAAACATCAAAGTGGTTCAGAAATGTTTCTGTTTTATTTTTCTGTGAAACAAGGTCTCATTCTGTTGCCCAGGCTAGAATGCACTAGCATGATCATGGCTTACTGCAGCCTCGACCTCCTGGGCTCAAGCAATCCTCCTGCCTCAGCCTCCTGAGTAGCTGGCACTACAGGTATGTGCCACCATGCCCAGCTAATTTTTGTATTTTTTGAAGAGATGGGGTTTCACCATGTTGCCCAGACTGGTCTTGAACTCCGGGGTCCAAGTGACCCACCTCCCCTGGTGGCCTCCTAAAGTGCTGGGATTATAGACATAAGCCACTGCACCCAGCCTGTTCAGAAATATTTCTAAGAAACTATTAAAAAATTGTATAGGAACTCAAAAGCCAAATAGAAGAGCCAAGGGAATGAGGAAAAACAGAGAACAAAACAGGAAAGTGAAAAAAGAAAACAATAAAAACAGCTTTGGGAATATGGTTTTATCTGACTATGTGAAGTAGCTATAAATCAAAATATGATATAGATCTAAATAATTAATACAAAACAAACCCAAAAACACAGGATATCTGAAAACAGAAAAAGTATGCCTATGTATCACTATGGGTCTAAACCAGGTTTCTCAACCTAGGCACTAATGATGTTAAGGGAATATGATTCTTGGTTGAGGTGGCAGACCTGACCTTTACTAGATGTCAGTGGCAACCTCACCAGTCTTCAGACAACGACAAATATCATCCCTTCTTAAGAACCACTGTTCTAAATGAAAGAAATAAGCTGCTCAGAGCTAAAAGTTTGCTAAGGGAAAAATAAAAAAACAATTATATTTTCTTTACAGAGTACCTGGCATATAACAAGCAATCAATAAATATGTATTGTTAAATAAAATTTCCCCTTTAAAACTGATTGTATTAATTATTTAATGATTCCGTCAAAGCTTTGAAAGTTTCAGCCCAATCTCAGTCCAAATTTCTATTAACTACAAAGTAAAAGAGAATAAAATTTACTTAATTCTTATACATTCAAAACAACTAACCATCACCACTACCTTGAAAAAAAGGCAGAGCCATTTAAGACTGGTGTTTTATGAAGTCTCAATTAGGTTTTCCATGCAAATGCTTCTTCCCAATTTTTTTCATTTTTCAATTTTTCAATAGGAATTACTCAAATTTATTTATTTGACAAATATATTACAAATACCTACTAAGTTCCAGAATTAAGTATTAAAGATGCACAAGAGGTACAGAGATAAAAATATATTCCTTCAAGGAGCTAGGAGTTTAGTAAAAGACTACAAGCAAATAAATTTTTACAAAACTACATGAAAAGCAGAAAAAGAGGTAGTTAAGAAACCAGAGAAAGAAAACCTCAGACTAATTTCTCCAAGTGTTTAGAGAAAGGGAGAGAGAAATACTGATGGCTGAACTGGGTTGTTGCTGTTTTAAAGATTGTTTTGGTTTTGTTTGGGGGAGGAAGTGAATTAAAATTCCACATTATCAACTTTCTTCAGATAACTGTCTGTGATAGATATTTCTATTACTGCAAAGTCTTGGCAAAGGAGAAGTTTCACTTTGATAGTTACCTGGGTAACTATTAATACTTTCTCAAAATCAAGGACATTTGCATCATTTGAACGCGCTTTTTAGACATTTAACTTTAGCTTTAGAAAAGTAAAAGATGATAAACTGTGATATTCAGCAATATAATATTAACAATTAAGGTTTAAAAAGAGGTGGAAATAATACCTAAAACAGTTTACAATTTATAATAACATACAAAATTGAATTCTGCATTAAATGATATCTTTCAAAACTTTTGTTTTCTGTAGTCATCAATACTGTCAACTATTTTGTTAAATATTTACAAGTAAAATTCATTTTGCTTTGGCTATTTTTCCAGTTGTCATGAACACAGGAATATTTTCACTTACAGATACACGTCACCATCTCTGATGTCAGACAATTCTATTCTCTTAACTTGTGCCTCCTCTACTGGTTCAAAAGTATAACAACACAAAACCAAGCCTTTAATTTCACTGATGTGTAACAGCAACTAAATAAGTTTCTGTTTTTTAATTTAGTGATCATGTCCTAAATTTAACTCATCAGATTAACATCAAATTTTGGATGAAGATCTTAACAAAAAATCTCTACCAGGTTTTTTTTTAAACCTTAAATTATTATTTTCATCTCTAAAGAATGGAAGTATACTCTAGTGAGAGTATATCATATTTGTGTTATAACTGAAATTTTTCTACATAAATATGAAACATTCTATTACCATGTTAATCAATTTGATGGACTTACAATGCAGTGTATCTGTCCATTGCAGACTGCACATCTCTACGGTAAACTGTTCGAAGAATGACCATGACGGGGTCAAACTCCTGATCCCAGACTTCAGCTATTATCCAGAAAAAAGTAGAAACATTGACTTCTCAGAAATAAAATCAACTTTTAATGACTTATTACATTTGTTAAGTACATTTTAAATTTAAAAGACAGAACATTTTAATCTGATTACAGTATTTGCCTTAAGAAGCTTGATGCCATGATTACTTTTCTAAGTCAAAAACAACGATTTCATCATCAGGAATGTTCTCTTGAGTTCAGCAAGCACTAAAGAACAAAAGTTTTGTAATACACAATGCCTCACCAGAAAAGTTTCCTTCATTGTTGTTGTTACTGTTTTTTGTAAGGTGCCGATTAAAAAGAAAAAAACACAGCACGTTAAGGCCTTTGAAAATATTTAAAGGCAGCTGGGCACACTGGCTCACGCCTGTAATCCCAGCACTTTGGGAGGCCGGGGCGGGTGGATCACGAGGTTAGGAGTTTAAGACCAGCCTGGGCAAGATGGTGAAACCCTGTCTCTACCAAAAATACAAAAATTAGCTGGCCATGGTGGCATATGCCTGTAATCCCAGCTACTCAGGAGGCTGAGGCAGAGAATAGCTTAAACCCAGGAGGCGGAGGTTACAGTGAGCCGAGATTGCACCACTACACTCCAGCCTGGGTAACACAGTGAGACTCCAATTCAAGAAAAAAAAAAAAAAAGTATTTAAAAGCAACCAGAGCATGATGCCTCACACCTGTAGTACCAACTACTTGGAAGGCTTAGGCAGGAGACTCACTTGAACCCAGAAGTTTGAGGCCAGCCTGGGCAACAAAGCCAGACCTCATTTCCCAAAAAAAGTATTCAAATAAAAGTATTTAAAAGTAAAAACATGAAAACTCGATTTAAAGATTAATGAGGCTGGACATGGTGGCTCATGCCTGCCAGCACTTTGGGAGGCTGAGGTGGGTGGATCACTTAAGGTCAGGAGTTTGAGACCAGCCTGGCCACCACAGTGAAACACCATCTCTACTAGAAATACAAAAATTAGGCAGGTGTGGTGGTGCACACCTGTAATCCCAGCTACTCAGATGACTGAGGCAGGAGAATCACTTGGAGGCAGAGGTCGCCCTAGGCCAAGATCACCCCTCTGCACTCCAGCCTGGGCAACAGAGTAAGACTCAGTCTCAAAAAAAAAAAAAATTAATGAGCTATTGATTTTCAAGAGACCCACTCTATAAATCTTTTTTGACTAAAAAAGATTTTCTGCTCCTTTGCTAAAACTGATCATTGGTCTCCTCACCTGCATAATTAGAAACCACTATCCTATATGTAGAATGTGTACAACCGATGGTTCACAAGATGATTTTAAGTATATAAAGCCTTTTATTTTAATAATTCTTAATTGTATTAGAAAATTGTAAGTTGCAAATAAAACTCATGACACCTCATTAATAATCATGCTTAGGATGAACCAAGTTTTTTTTTTTTTTTTTTTTTTTTTTTTTTTTTTTTTTTTTTTTTAAGTTAATTTGTTAAAAAAAAAAATCCCACCAGGCGCAATGGCGCGTGCCTGTAGTCCCAGCTACTCGGGAGGCTGAGGTGGGAGGATCGCTTGAGCCCAGGAGTTCTCGGCTGCAGTGCGCTATGCCGATTGGGTGTCTGCACTAAGTTCAGCATCAATATGGTGACCTCCCGGGAGCAGGGGACCACCAGGTTGCCTAAGAAGGGGTGAACAGGCCCAGGTCGGAAACGGAACAGGTCAAAACTCCCGTTCTGATCAGTAGTGGGATCACACCTGTGAATAGCCACTGCACTCCAGCCTGGGCAACACAGTGAGACTCTGTCTCTTAAAAAAATAAATAAAGGAAAAAAAAATACTGAAATACTAAGCATATTTCAATAGAGTGGATATTTAGATGTGGCAAAAATCTAAAAAATGGACTGAGAATAATTTTAGAAACCATTGCCTTAAGAGTATCTCCTTACTAAATTAAGTTTTTCTCTCTCATTCTCTCTAGCAAAATTATTAACATTTGAAAACATGGTGAGAAACTTAAGCTTCTCCTTACGCATCCACTACAATTACAACTTTCTAGCACAAAACGCTGTTAACCATTGTTAACCACTGTCCCTATTTTCATGTAACAAGCTATTCATCTTAAAGTATCAGAAGTATGACTTAAAATTCTGAAGACAGTCCTTCACAAAGACCCTTACTAGTATTTCTATCATTATTTATTGTCCCTCTCTTTGAAGTCTATTATTTTGCATAATTAACATTCCAAAGCTTTTATTAGAAGTGTACAACCTTAGCAATGGAAGAAAACTTCAGTGATTAATTAGTCCAATGGGCTTCAAACAGTGTTCCATCAAGCTGAATTACCACCCATGTGTAACAGGGGCCACTTTAGGAGCAAGGGGATAGCAGAACAGAGGAGACGCTAGGTTCACTACCCATACCCACTTTAACAGGAGTAGGCCAGCTACTGTTGGTTTTATATTAATATAACAAATTCACTTAAGGCTTAGACCTTGAAACCAGAGGCTTGTTTCAACCACTTTTTAAAAGTTTAAGAACTCACTTTGCAGATAAGAAGCCAAATCCAAAGATAAAAAACTGGCTGGGCGCAGTGGCTCACGCCTGTAATACCTGCACTTTAGGAGGCCAAGGCAGGAGGATTACTTAAGACCAACAGTTGAGACCAGCCTAGGCAACACAGTAAGACCCTGTCTCTACAAAAAATAAGAAAATTAGCCAGCATAGTGGTGGATGCCTATGGTCTCAGCTACTGGGGAAGCTGAGGTGGCAGGCTTGCTTGAGCCTAGTAGGTCAAGGCTGCAGTGAGCTGTGATGGTTACCACTGCACTCCAGCCTGAGCGACAAAGTGAGGTTCTGTCTCCAAAAAACAAAACAACAGATTTCCTAAACCACAGAACTAGCTAATATAATGCATACTGTATTTAAATATGACACTCAATTTCTTAGCTCTAATGTCCAAATGCCCTTTATTCCATCTCAGCATTGTTTATAACAATAATCTACAGAGCTTGTTTAAAAAAGCAGATTCTCAGATTTTACCCACAGAGATTCTGATGAGAGCAGACGGGAGATGAAGCACAGGAACCTGCATTCTTAACGAGGAGCAGAAGTCTCACAGAGATGTAATCCTCACATCATACTTTCATAAGCACTGCACTATACCACAGCACCACCCCACTCCCAAGTTTATCTAATTTTACACACAAACTATCCTCTACACTAAAAACAATACTGTGCTTTTCTTTTAATGGAGTACTTTCCAACCAGAGACTCTGGATTGTCTTGCACTCCCTGAAAAATCCCAAATAAGGCTTTTCTGTTCTGCTTTGCCAAACACACACAGTACAGTACCTATTATTTAAAACTTCAAAATGAGCATTGGTTTTTCAATTGGACAATGTGTTGAGGGAGTCAAGAATTTTAACTTAGATAAATGAAAATCTGAAAGTCCAACAAAAAAAGACTGTGTAAATCAAAACCTCATTTATTTCTGGCTCTCGTCAAGCATGGTCAACTGTGACTCCAGAGGGGTAAAAAACTTACAAAACCAATCAGGTACCTGCCACCATGCCTGGCTAATTTTTCTGTATTTTTACTAGAGACAGGGTTTCATCATGTTGGCCAAACTTGTCTCTAACTCCTGACCTCAGGTGATCCACCCACCTCGGTATTCCAAAGTGCTGGGATTACAGGCATGAGCCACAGCTCCCAGCCTCTACACCCTTTAATTTGAACTATTTCAAGTTAAAATTTGGGTCATGAGGATTGTATTGCTGTTTCTAAATCAAATTTGAAGAGTGAATACATTCAAATATATTTTTAAATATACATTTTGTTTTATAGTTTCTGGTTCATTTATGGTTATGATCACTTATAAAAATGAACTAGAGTTCTAATACAAATTTCCTTTAGAGTTTACAGTCATCTAAAAAGCCTTAGTGTAACATAAAGCTATAGATTTGTATAATTGAAAGCAGTAACACTGTTTACCAATAAAGACATAAATTTATAACACAGTGGAGAAAATGACTAAATGGTAAATATTTTCTTTTAATACACAGAAGAATTCACCATTAAAGAACTGATATTTAAAAGAATTCATTTATGTATACAAACATACCTTTGGGAGTATACATGCCTTGTTGCATAGAGCCTCCAGGTTCAAAAACAGGAGCCTTAAAATCAGCTACAGCTGATAAAACTGATTCAAAGCTGTAACTGCCTGGAATAATGCCACTTTTGGGATTAGGATTTTCTGGAATATGATATATATGTCAAGAAAAAAATATTAATAACAAAAAGCCAGATTCATAGCATTTCCAAGGTACTCTAGTTTCTCATTTTACTAAAGCAGACAAATAGTAATTGACTGTAATATATAAAGCTGGCCACAAGAGGGCTATATAATACAACAGTTTAATAATAACTTTTCATTAATTGTGATTTTTGAAGATATGTTTAATCTAGGCGCCTACTAATAAATTATATGCTGTAGTAGTTCCCAGGTCTTTCTTCCCCAAAATAAATTCATCAAATTTCAAAAAATGATTAAAAAACTTTTTAAAATGTGTCATTTTCATCATTTTGTAAATAATTTTTCCTGAAAAAACAGAAAGAACTTGCAAAACATTAGCCAAGATTTTTATAAGCAAAGATTGTTTTTCCAAAAACACAAAATTTCATCCCCAAAGAAAAAAATGCTAAGCAAATTTAAACAATGAGGCAAACCAGATTCTCTCCGATTTGCTTCACATTAAAGTGTATATATATATATATATATGACTCTTTAAAATTCAAAGATACAGAGACTGTTTTTATTCTATACTAGCACTGACACAGTTCATAATGACTGAAGGAAATCATCAGACAATATCAAATTGACACTGCTTACAAAAATCAAGGCTGTCAAATAGGCATTCTAATAGAACTTATTTCACAAAACAAAAATTTTAGCCAATTCTTCCAATCATAGTCATAAGCTATATAAATACTAAATTTAGCCAGAATTTTTAACAAAAAATTACTTGATAATCTTTGCCTAAAATTTTATTAACATTAACTTAAAAAATAATCAAATACCCATTGTTATGTTCAGTCCTATACAAACAACCACAAGTTCCCTGTTTGTATACAATAAGCTACAAACTCAAAAATCCTTTAAGACCAAATTCTACAGAAAAGCCTTCAAAATGTTTAAAATCCTGGTAATAATAATCTTAAGGTATACCTTTAATTGTTAACCATGAATTGCAGCCTGGCTACACAGACAAAATAGACGTAGCTGTCTTTTACAAGATGTTCAGTTTCTTTGCACTAATGCTGTCCTAGAAGGTTAAATCCCGGGGTGGCCAAACTCAACAATCAGTCTTGAAACTACCCTAAAGTCTAAGAAGAGTTCCCTAAGAGGTAATAACAGGAGGTTTAAAAAAAAAAAAAAAAAAAGATCCAAGATGGCCGTTTAGGAACAGCTCAGGATTGCTGCTCCCAGTGAAAGTGCAGAGGGTGAGTGGACCCCGCATTTTTATTGCCCACAGACTAGGAAATTCCCAGGCAGAGGAGCTCCACGGTTGCCGGCCAGCGCGACTGTGCCGCCGGCGCCGCTGCTTTGCCCCGCACGGCTGCTTTGCTGGCGCCCCGGAGCAGCGGTTCCCCGTACAAAATACACCAGTCCGGGTGCGCTTTTGGCTGGCGATTGGACCACGGGAAGTCGCCCATTCGTCTGTTTAAAAAGGGGACTGAGCAGAGAACCAGGACAGTAGATTTCAGGGCAAAAAAAAAAAGCGCCTCAAACCTCAGTGCCGCTGTTTAAGCCAGCGCAGTGAGTGGCCACAGAGGAAAACAAACAGACCCCGGCGCCTCTTCAACAGGCGACTGGAACACCAACTTAAAAAAGGTTCTGAGGCAGGGAGCCAGGTGATCAGGCTCGGCTGGTCCCACCCCCACAAAAGAACAGCAACCAGAAACTCTGGATTGAGACTTTCACAGCAAGCGCAGCTGACCCTGGGACGTTCCAGCTCTGTGGGGGAGGGGCGTCCGCCATTACCGAGGCAGCCCGCCAGGACAGAGGTAGTCAGCCAATGCTGAGGCAGCCGCCGTTGCCAAGGCAACCTGCCATTGCTGAGGCAGCCCGCCGTTGCCAAGGCCACCCGCCACAGCAGAGAGACTCCGCCTCAACAGAGGCGGGCCACCATCGCCAAAGCAATTCTAACTACACCCATATAAACAGGACTGCAGGGAAGTTCACTCGGCAGCGGGGCGGAGCCCACAGCAGCTCAGCAAAGCT